CACTAATCTCAACTCTGGGGTCTTGGGTCTGATTCCTAGACTTGGCATTTTATGTGAGTACATTGAACATTGGGACGCCATTTTTTCAAGGTTTTTCTCTAAGTTTTCCAGTTTTCCTAATTTGATCTGTGAGAAAGTGGTTGTAGATCAGCCCAGAGGCTGTTTTAGGGTTCAATTTGTGAGTTTTTCAGGGCTTGAACAGTGGTTTAACCATGCCCTGACTTAAGGCGCGTTTACACAGAGCARTTTTCTCTGCAACTTGGAGCATCGCAGCGTGTAACCTATAGGGCAATTTGAAAAATGTTTTGAGACAAGTTGCATCAATCGTTATGAAAAGTAGGATTCGTTTCTACTTTTGGCAATGATTGCGTCTCCATTRCACTGTKTAAACACTCTTGCAACTTGTCTCACAACTGTATTGCGAGACAAGTTGCAGAGAAAATTGCTCCATGTAATCATGCACTTAGATCAACCCACAGATTATTTTAGGGTTTGTTAAAATTGACATTTTTTTTGCAATTCAGAACATGAATCTCAAGCAAGCTACCTACCAACACAAAACACGGGCATTACAACTGGTGAAGACTTGAACAGAGGACAAGATGATGATAAATATAAATATGTAACAGAATTTCTATCGAACTATCAGTCATTAGTTAAATCATCAACTTCCCTCAAGGAATTAGGAAAAGAACTTGAGAATGACAGACATGAACTTGAGAAAAAGATAGAGCTTGTTGAAGAATCATGGAAAATTCTTCAGGAGTGAAAAAAAGATATGGGATACTAGTGGTAATTAAATCTTTTTTAAATAGTTTTTTTTGTCCCGCTTTTGATGTCTTCACTTGCACAAGTTTTGTGAGCCAATTTTTTAAACATTTATTTTACAGATATTTTTATTTGTAAACTCTAGTTTGACTTACMGTAGCTGACATTGAGCACTTTATTTATGATTCTCTTGCTTGGGAGACTGAGCTTGCAATCACTCTCTACAATGCAAAACTTGTGCATAGGAGCATTTGACAGTACCCAGGGGTGGACCTAGGGGAGGGGTGCAGAGGGAGCACCACCCCCCCCTAGATGAGCTGATATCTACTGTTTTATTGGTGTTTGAGTTTGTAAGCAAAGCGTACACCCCCCTAGAAAAAATCCTGGATCTGCCCCTGGTACTACAGTATGTAGCTAGACACACATTGAGGACATATAATTTTATTCAACATATACTTTTTTTTGTTTATCCAATATTATATATTTTTGAGCTTTTTTTGAGTGGTGATCCTAGAAATCTTGGGTCTTTCAAGTTGCAACTATTTAAATACCATAACATTATGTTAAAAATGCTAAAATATTCAAAACATATGCTGAAAATTATTTATTGTGAATCATTCATTCATCTTTAATTGATAATGAGTGACTGTGACCATAGTATAGATACAATTTAATAACTTCCCAAGAGATTTTATAACATATATCATGGAAATAAATTATACGTAGGTCTATTTGCAAGTGATTTGTATGTGGGGATTCATGAAAAAGTATTAAAAAATTGTACTCAATTCATATAGATTAGGTGCACATTAAGTCATAGCCGCCATCTTGGTTGACGATAACAAAGCATTCCTCATTACACTTCTCTTGTTAGGTCAACCAAGATGGCRGCTGTTTCATTGTTATTTATAATATCTCAAARGATTTTTCGGTAGCCACCATGTTGGTTGACGATAACAAAGAATTCCTCTTTACAGAATTTTAACTAGAATTAAGTAATTAGAATTGGCTTGTGGGGGGAGGGGAGGGGGCAGTAGCYTTTTATGCAGACATTCTTAGGGTGTCGTGCAATGTTTCTCTCCCTTTAAGCAGAATTCATGGTGAGAGAAACCTTGAGCTATGATGTGATGACCCTCAGAATGTTAGATATATCAATATTTTTTAATAGCAATTATGGATTTGAAAGCTGGCTATATCTTATTTCCAATGAAAAGATTAATTATGTATATCCCTTTGTATAATGATATTCTGTATAGGTTCAATGCTAGGGATGGATCCAAGGTGTGAGAATGAACCCCCCTCTCCCTTTTTCAATGCTTATTCAACCTTAAAATTGCAAATATGAACCCCCTTTTTTCTGTTCTGGTGACGAGCCTGTCTCTAAGAAGGAAAGGTATTTGGTCTTAATATTCCAGATCCTGCAGGTCCTTGTTGTTGAAACTGTAATCCTGTAACAACTGAAGAATTATGAGGGTATCTAACCGGAGCCACACCAGGATGCATCCCCACAGCGTGATTGGGATACCCAATAGCAGCCTGACCTACCATGGGCCTAGGCTGATGTGGGTARCCCCCTGGCATGAGTGGGTTGTGGGARTGCTGTGATGGTAGAGGAACTGGTATTGGCATTGACGCAGCATGTGGAGTTAGGATCTGTTGATTGTTTGATAGCTGTTGATAGCTTGATTGTGGTAGTGGTTGATTCCAGTGGTTTGGTGGAGGCTCTGTTGGTAGTGGTCCTTGCTGTCGTCCTCTYCTGTTTCCACTCATGGACRGCTTTGAGTAGCGAGAGTTGCTACCATTTGGGTCTTTGTCCCATAACTTACACAGTTCTCTTCCCACTGATGGTTCCAACTCCTGAGAAAAAAAATCAGATAGTTCAGGGTTGCTCACCATTTAAATCAATCCACTGGGTTGGAAATTCATTGGCTATTGTAAGAAAAGAGTGGGAAACTTTCGAAAAATGGAACACTCGTCTACAGGAAGAACTAAAAAGATAGTGAAAAGTGGGTTACCTCAATCAAGAGAATGAGTTTTTTTGGGTCGTTTTCCAATGGGAATGATGCATACCATTTTCTTGGTAAACTATAAGCACCCCAGATCTTTTTGTGGACCTTCTTTACAGTTTGCATAGTAACAACATTGGTGACATACCTGACCATCGCGGCTTATTTGTACTTTCTTGTTATCATTCCATGGGTTAACTAAATGATGTGCCTCTTGGAAAGGAATGTTAGCCCTGAAAATGGATGATACAAGTTGCATTAGCTTTCAAGTCGTTTTAGTTAATAGCAAGCCTTGAAACCCTTGCGCAATAGTGGGTTTTCAAATCATCTTATGACTTCTTACTTTTTGATCCAGTCCACCTTGAATACTCCTCCTAGAGAACTGGAACCAAACTCTGGGGACTTCTCTCTACCAATAGGGGATGTCATGTGTGCAAATCCTAACGAGAGAAAAAAAGTTTTTGTAAATTGAGGGGTACAGATACAAGAGAATGAGTGGGAGAGAGCAGAGGGGAAGAGAATCTATTTTTCCAAATATTAGAAAAATGTACAAACCAATATAACTATAGGTTTCGTCAGTTTGCTTTATTCGATTTTGCAATGGATTTCTTGTTGGCAATTAAATATAAAACCAAATGGATTTCATCATTGTATGAAGATCCACCTATTCAATAATAGATCTTTCCTGAATATTGTATTTTCCATTGTGTTGTTAATGTACCAACCATTTTAACGATAGGTTTTGTCAGTTTGCTTTATTGGATTTTCCAATGGATTTCTCATTGGCAATTTTCAAAAAAATAACCAAATGGATTTCATCATTGTACGAAGATCCAACTATTTGTTTGAGTGACTATAAAAAACAATGGCTGCAAGTCAAGGTTGGACTTGAAAAAAATGGGAAAGATCTATTGAGTGAAACATTTTTGCAATGATACAGTTATAATGTTCCYATTGTAAAATCATGCTTAGCCTAATAAAGTTTGTCTAGGTTTATTTTTCAGTGTTTTCTAACCTTGAAAATGCCCACTTCCTTGGACAGAGAAGAAGAGGATTATCATTTTGCTTTCCTGAAAAATGGAAAGGTAAAATTTAGTTGCTTTGATGCATTTGGGCACAGTTATGCACTGTTATCAGCACCTAGTATAAATAAACCCTAAGGCAGCAAAAGACAATTGTGTTACCACAGCACCATACATGCAGCACACGAGAATGGCTTGGTTTCACTTCACATCATTTCATGTCTCATGTGGAATTTTTTTCATTTTTGGGATACCAAATTTGAAGGTCTGAAGGAGTTGGTTGGATATTTCTCTTACCTTGAATGCACGATTCAGTTTCTTTTCATTAGCAATCGTCGTGGCCCAGATTCCCTGTCATTAAGTAAAACAAAGTTACTAAGCTGGCAACGAGCATGCTCAAGGCTCCCCTTGATAACAGTGCCCCTAGGGTCACCCTAGGCCCTTCATAAATGAAAAAATTCATTTTATTTCATTTCACAAGTCGTTTGAAATACGAGTATGGTAATTGTGTATTTCATGACCAGCTGACATGTGTCGGTCGACTATCACCCGACTGTTGGTCGACAGTCACCCGACTGTTGACCAACACTTGCCTGACACTTGTTGACCAACAGGCGGGCGATAGTCGACTGACACGGTCATGAAGTACAAGACTACCTACGAGTATACTACTATCATACCTTGGTCATCGAAATACTTAGATTTCGCTGATTGTTGCATTTCATGATGAAGTAACGAGCTGAAAAAATACATGCAAAGATAAAAAAAATTATAGTTATTCTCATAATATTGTATTCCTTCTTTAGTTGGTGAGTTGGCCATTTAGTTGTTCGTTATCAATATATTTTTATTAAAAATATTTTATTTTACAACCATCACTTTCTGAAAGAGGGTCTTTCTTTTAATACACTCATTGAAATTTGTCTGTTTATAAAATTTGCCCACTCATTTTCCGGTTCCTTCTCTCTTTTGTTCTCTTGTTCTTTCATTTATTGATGTTGCTCATTCCATCATTTACTTACCCTCGCTAAGCTTGTCTCCTTGCTGCAATGACTGTCGAGGTTGAATCGATTCGAAAGACTTTTTTGGTGTTGTCTGCTTGTCAAAAAGGGAAAATCAAGATACTTTGTGTAAAACAAGGGAGTCAATACCCTTGAAGCCATATGTCTTGTCTTTTTTAAGATAATATAAATCAGAGTCTAGTTTCTTAGTAACGATAATCTAAGTAATGCTGTTGTGTGTCTTGTCTACCTGTGGAATGGGTGAGTTACTTTGTCTGGTCTGGGAAAATCAAGATACTTTGTGTAAAACAAGGGAGTCAATACCCTTGAAGCCATATGTCTTTTCTTTTTTAAGATAATATAAACCAGAGTCTAGTTTCTAAGTAACAATAATCTAAGTAATGCTGTTGTGTGTCTTGTCTACCTGTGGAACGGGTGAGTTACTTTGTCTGGTCTTCCAACTTGGACCTAGAGGACAAGAAAGTACTATTAATTGAAACTACCATATACAAAATAGCTTACTACTGCAAGGAAATTTATCAACATTTTTTGAGGGAGTGGGAGATGGATGACTTGCTGAGCCTTGTTATAGAGACTAGTCCTAGACTAAAATGTAGTGGATTCTCCACCATCCAGATTAGGTGCAAACACTGACTCTCCACCTGTTCAAATGATAGCAGCCCCTTTGAATTGAGAAAGCACAGGCCTTAGACACTAATTTTGCTAAAGGGCCGAAGAGGAGTGGGGTGAGAAATGGAAGTAAATACYGGGAGATAAAAGAATCTGTGTTTCAATAAACAGTTCTCCTACCAGTGGAATCTCTATAACGATCTTTCGGAGAAGAAAATCTTTCTGTTGTTCGCGGCCTGTTTGGAAAGRAATAARRGAAAATAAAGTAAAAGATCGAAGCAACAAAATATAACTTAAACCAACTAGGTAACCAGGTGGGTAACCCAGTGGGCAACCCAGTAGGCGACCCAGTAGGTAGCCCAGTAGGTAGCTCAGTAGGTAGCCCAGTAGGCGACCCAGTAGGTAGCCCAGTAGGTAGCTCAGTAGGTAACCCAGTAGGTAACCCAGTAGGTAGCTCATAAGGTAGCTCAGTAGGTAGCCCAGTAGGTAGCCCAGTAGGTAGCTCAGTAGGTAACCCAGTAGGTAACCCAGTAGGTAGCTCAGTAGGTAGCCCAGTAGGTAGCCCAGTAGGTAGCTCAGTAGGTAGCCCAGTAGGTAGCTCAGTAGGTAGCCCAGTAGGTAGCCCAGTAGGTAACCCAGTAGCTAACCCAAGATCAAATGAATAAAAACAGAAAGAACAGGGCATCTGCTACAAACCTTTCATCTCGGTATCCCCGTGATTCTGATACATAATCTACAAAACAGAACATAATCCAACAACCATAGGCATAAATTGAATGATAATGGTGGTGATGGTAATGATAATGGTGAAGGTGATGATGATAATTATGGTGATAATAATGATGACAATGTTGATCGTGATGATGATAATTTTGATGGCGATGAAGATATTGATAATAATTAAGAGTAGAACAATGATGAAAACCAAAAAAAATAAATAAAAAAATGACATGATCTTATTTACAATATATGACATCACTCATCCTTGGACATCAACACTCAGGCCCCGTCCACACGTATCCGGAAATTTTTGTATCCGCAAAAAATAATTTGCGGATACGAAAATGTTTGCGTCCACACGCAGCGTATTCGAATCGTTTTCACCGTCCACACGTATCCGTTTTCGTAAAATTTGAGGATACGG